CTGCTAACAACAACCAGTCGAGATGGAGCATTTTTCTTGAGAAGAGCGAATAGCGATCTTGAGAGAATATAAGGCGCCAGATAATTCACCTATGATATACTATTATAATTTACTAATGCATTTAAATGTGCTTGTTCAAAAGTTCAGTTTACTCATATAAAAAGTGGTACCTATGGGCACACTTCATTAAGTTTTAAGTGATGCTAGCATGGAAACAAAATCATAATTATGATAAGAAACTTTTTTCACAGTTGGAACCAATTTTTCAAATTTTATCAATAGCATTCAATAAAATGGAGTTTCTTTGATAAAATAAAAAGTAATACCAACATTAATAAATACAAATCAATAAATGAAAAGTAATACATACAGTAGTTATTAGTCAGATCAATACCATATTTTATTTAAAAAAATTTAAAACTATGCAAAAATTGACTCACTGAAGCAGATGGAAGCGAGAATTATATTTTTATAATTCAAAAACCATGATATTACAAAAATCACTTGCAAAGTCCGATGGGTTAATCGATTATTATTGATATCATTACTGATTTGCTGATAACGAATTTGAAATATGAGTGAAAGACAATTATGAGATCTCTAGATGACAATGAAAGACATTTGAGTAGAAGCACAATACAACAGCAGTTCACTGCTTTTTTATATTGCTTTGAAACAATAATCAACACTGCACTTTCAGTAATAAGTTTTATAACATTAACTTTTTATTAAGCTAATAAAATTTCAAACTTGGCCTATTACTGTTAACGGCACTACAAACTGTAAAACAATTGATTGGTTGTACAGAAAACGCATAAAATTTCATGAAAATTACGTAGTATGTCATTTAATTTACAAGTGTTATCTTTACATATTTATTAATTGCATATTAAAATATACTATGATCATTTGTTTCGCAGTTTGCATAAACAAATGAAGTAGACCTCACGTAATCTTTACATAATCCTTCACTTAAATTCCATAGTTTTTGCTGTAATCGTTCATCGGTAGCATCAGAACTACTCCGTGTTTGCTTGCCATGACAATCGAAATATTTACCACTAACATTTTCTAGAGCAGGAGATTCAATCAAGTTAAGTAAAGTACTAACACCACTACTTAGCACTAACGACGAATCGAATGATGACAGTGATGTGCTTCGTGACCTAAAACTTATCACATACTTATATATAACACTTTACTCAAGGTATTTATTTGCTCACAAAAATAGAATATTTTCATCTTCAACTATTTCATGTTCCATAATATCAGTGACCATTAATGATCAAAATACTTATCAGTGACCATTAATGATCAAAATACTTATCATTTCATTCGTAAATCATATACTTGTAAAACTCAGTTCAGCAAAATTACGACTGTACTACATAATATGTGAAATAGACAAAAGTTATTAGACCTGCTTCTCCGACCTGGTTGCGGTTCCATATTTCCTAGATCGACAACATTAGAAGTAACTCGGAAACAACAACCTTCCCTCACTAAAAGCCGGTGCAACGCAAATGATGTCATATGATTCATTAATTTTGTCCTAGAAAACTGAAGATACTTATCGTATTCCTTTTCTGCCATCAAATCATTCCAATCAATTGCATGCCTAAAAAATCTGTGTGGAACTGAGATTTAATATATTTAAAAAATCACTTCACCTAAATTATCTACTGCATATACCTAATTATCCAAGTACAGATAAATCTAAATTGTTTCACTTTTCTATAATCATTTTCATAATATTAACATTGCTACCTTTTTATAGTTTTAAATTCCAACTCATCAAGCAAATTTTATTTTTTGAAAAAAAACTATAACAAAAAATTAGTATTTAATAACTATTTAATAAACTATGAATAGCCAACGATTTATGATAACAGTAGCAGTACACTGCTAAATATTCAAAAACAAATTTTTTAATTTTTTGCAATTAAAAACTTACCAGCTATGAAGGCTGCTACTAACAATAATAATACGGGAAGGTTGATTACCTTTCAATCGTTCAAGCAAACGATTTATAATTACAAAATGTGCCAGATGATTAATCTGAAAGGCCATAACAAATCGAAAAGAATGAAAATTAGCAAGAAAGCCGAGTAAGGTAGATGATGTACAATAGTTGCATGAAGTCTACTAAATTATGACGACATACACAGTAAAAATCCAAAGTAAAAAATACGTGAAAATTCAAAATGAACATAAGCAACTTGCACTAATACAGAAACAATAAATTACATTTGTCTACTTTTTTAAATATCAAATGAATTCAGACTTTTTTCAAACAAAGCAAAAATTACAAGAATACGTAATGAACAAATGAAATAAAAAACGAGGGATACAAATACTTTTCCAATCACTTTCACGAGCATTTATTTTTGTAATTTTTTTTTCAAAAAATAATAAATGCGTAAAAGTGTTGTATTTTATTTACAGCACATTTGTGCAAAATAAACACTCTGTAAGGCATATTCGTATATACTAAAAATGTACAATGATTTTAAATATAAAGAAATATCTTATAACAAGAACTTTATTTTGAAAAGCTGATAGTAAATATTTAGTAATCTTTAGACTACAGTAACAAAGTTTTTTAAATATTTCAAACTGATAGCAGCAAGAAATTTTAAAACCCTGATCACTAACGACTTTTTAGCTCACAGAATTCTATTTTCTGTATATAAATCAATCAAAAATACAGCTAACTTACTAGCAACGCATAGAAAAATAAGTTCAAGTATTTGAAATAGTTAAAAAATACTTAATTATCAGTCGCTAACAAAGTTATCACACATAAATAAATAGTACTGTATCAATAAAATGAAAGATACTGACTTGGAAAGTTAATTCAAATCCATCTCGACTTTCTGTTCTTTTTGGCAGAAGTACACCAGCATTACACAATAAAACATTCAATTGCGGAAATCGTTTTTCAACCTCAGCAGCCAAATTAGATACCTGTAAAAACGAGTGAACCAATAAAGTCAATTATTTTATTATCCAGGGCAATCGATAACGGAATCTGAAAGTGTTTCGATACTTCGTGTAATGCTAATAGTTATGTAAATTTTAAAAAAAATTGAAATTGAAATCTTTGTAATAAACAACTTACCTCTTTCAGATCTGAGAAGTCAGCAACAACATAATCAAGATTTAACTTATTCTGTAATTTGCCTTCACGCATAATATATTCAATAGTTGCTTCACATTTTTCAACACTTCTCCCATGGATAATAACAAAATTTTCCTTCTGAAAACACGTTATATAATTTCATTACCTGCATTAAACATTTTTGATTGCTTGATTACAGAACAATGAGCATGTAAATAGATATGACATGCATCGAATATATAACTAAAAGCATTTTATAACGATAAAAACTGAACATTATGATTCAGTTCTATGCTTTGCTTTATTGTTTGACAAAATGATAAAATCTTAAATGCAAATTTTGACAATATATTGAAAACTTGTGACAAAATATTTCTGAAAACTTTGAAATTGCAACTTAATTTGAAGAGTCGAGGTCTGCTTGTAATTCCTTTATAATATATACTTCAATTTACGTCTCCTTAAGATTTCAACCAATTTGCTAGCAATTAAGCTAAGCTTTTTATTATTTTAAGTAAAATAAAATTGTATTTAGTCTTACTAAAAACACCAAAAGCTTGTTATACTGCAACTAAACATGTAAGCACCAAATAAAATCAACTGACATTTCGGACAGCTAATTCCAAAGCCGTTTGTCGACCTATTCCGTCTGTTGAGCCTGTAATCAGTATTGTACGTTTGTAATTGATATCAGTATCTCTTTTTTCAGCCATTCTAAAATACAAAAGCAAGAATTACAAACAATAAAATGCTGGCATTGCTTGAAACGCAAGTATAAAGTAAGTCAAGAAACATTTTAAGAAAACATAATCATAAGAAAAGTTTTGCAATTTAGTGGCAATATTTTTCAAAAGTAAAGGAAATAAACTATCTTATGCATAATTTATTTTTGTTCAAATACTTAATTAAAAAACATTTTAATAATAAAAAACTGAAATTTATTAATAAAAATTTAATAATAAAACACTTATTATAAAATTCATTTCCGCCCAAATACTTAAAAACGAATATTTGCCAAAAAATTCATACACTTCTTGAAGTCTAACGATCGAAAGAATGATTTGTTTTTCATACATTTACATCTCAATTAATGAATAAAATAAAAAATATTTTATTTTATCACTTTTGTTTTTGTTTTTTTTTGAATCTGAAAGAATTCTTGTCATATATCAGTAAGAATAACGCATAAAATATTTGATTAAAAAATAATCCAAATTAAATAATGAATTTGACACGACAACAGTCAATATGCATAACACACTTGCATATATAAAACAATCAAAATACAGTACTAAAAATCAAATAAACATCAATTATAATAATCAAAGAATTATTTTATGAACACATAAGATTACAAATCACAAAGAAATTATAAATTATGCATGCCTCTTTCCAAATCGAAAATTATCAACAGTTAAATTAATTAATTAATTAATTAAATGTAAATTAAAATTATTTTTAAAAACACTTTCTAAATCACAATCGTTGATTATTTTAAATAATAAGTAAATTATACTTTTTGTCAAAAATTTATTCCTAAAAATGGAGCAAAATAGATATCATCTAAATACATTTAAATTACACATCTTACTACCTTCTATACATTTATTATTTATACCATTCAAAAAAAGCACAAATTATTACCTCTAAAAAATATTGAATCATTTTGTCTCCAAAATATACTTTCCTTCTTAATACTAATCACTTGCAATGAATGGAAAGAATCTGAGCTAGACAATACATTCTGGCTTGTTTTTGAGGAAAAACACCAAATAATATTGAAATATTAATGTATTACATAAAAATAAACAAATTACACTTGTAAACAAACAAAGGGAGTGAAGAGAAACTTCGTTGTACATCAGAAGAATTCTTCTTTCCACAACACAACTTCCTTACTTCTTATTTCTTCAATATTTTTTGCAATACATAAAAAGTAATCATCTAAAATAAGTAATAATCAATAAAGTATAAAAAATAATTATCTCTCCCATGGAGTTTAATCTGGCAAGATGAGAAAATAAATCCTGAACAGCTAAATTAATGATCTCTTATTACATTCCATTAAAAAGCACTCATAAAAGATTAAGCATAAGCAAAAATAACCAGAAATAGAAGCAACAACGCTAAAAGTTACAGAATTGCTTTTTCTCAAAATTACAAAAATTAAATTACAAGAAAACACTTTCACGTAAGTAACGTTTGAGATCTTATAAATTAATGTCATTGATGCAACTGTTACTATCACAATTACTTATACTTACTTAAAAAGTATAATTTATCCAAGTTAAAAGAATAAAGAAACAAAAACAAACTAATAATCATTATATATGTGCTAGGGACTAAATTACATCCCAGTCAATTAGATAAATGTTTAACCTCAAACAAACTGATACAGTTTTCATCGTTTTACGGTTTTCAAAAGAATTTTATTTGATTAGATCAATTTTGTGTACATTATTAATAAAATTAAAACAGATATGCTATTAATTTAACTTTACATCTGTAACATATTACTGCCCTTTAAGAGTACTTCTTTTTTTGAGAGCACTTCTTCATATTTTTACCACTATAAGTCAGATTATAGTTCATCTATATTCTGCTGTCAAAATAAGTCAGACAGAAAAAAATTTGAATACACTTCTGGCCTTGTCAGTTTCAGTTCATACAATGGACGTATATTAGCTATTACCTCATATTATGTTATTTATTATTTATTATTATAATATTACTGATGACAAACGTTTGATACACTATCTCACACGACTTGCAAAACTTGAAAGATAATTTAATATCAGACCATTACACAGATGCACGTTATCGTTATGCTACTATTAAATTATGTTCCGGTTATTATTTGTTATCACACATAAGAGTAACTTACATATTTATGGAAGTAGGCCGTCATTTTACTAAATTATATTAGTGAAACGTTATTACTGGTATTTTTGCTAATATATCATCACATTATAGATTATTCAGCTTAACATTATTTACCATTATGTGTAAACATATCATTAAAATTCAATAAGCACCAATAATCAGCTGAAATGCCTTTTCCCAGAAGACAAATAATTCTCAGCAAATTAGAAGGGCATGTTTTCAGAAATAAATTTATAATAAAAAGTATTGCTTTACACTGTTGTCAAATTTTCATCTTCTCCAGACATTGTTGTGAACAATTACAGCTCACTACAGTGCATGGAAAAGAAAAACAGCTTCTCATAAATGCAATTACAGATAATAATCGCTTGAATGACAAGCAGAATGTGAATCATATTAACGCTCTGTTACTATTTAGATTCTCTATCAATTCTGTAATACAATTCATTAATCAGAAACAATCGCAGTGTCATGCATCACGTACAATAATTTCAGTTATAATTTAAAAAACACTCTGTGTAAGCCTGCACTTCATAGATGCTCTCGACAAATGGCATAAAATAGAAAGTTAATGATTTCAAGAAGAACAAATTAATGGAATGTAGAACGAAGGCAATGCAGAAAATTGAAATCAAATAATATTGGAAATTTCCGGAATGATAAAGAAGCGAAATGGATTAAGCATAAAACAAAATCAAACGTGTAAGAAATGAGAATCAGTGAATAAAATGATAGCGTGGATTGGGCAGAGGGAATGAGTGAAGAACAGATGAATAAATTGAGAGGATGCATGAATGAATGATAGATGGATAGATAGATAGATGGATAGATGAACGTATAGACAGATGGATGAACAGATAGATGGATAGATAGATGAATGGATAGATGAATGGATAGATGATGAATGGATAGATGGATGGATATCTTCTGCAAGATGATATCTATATCTACCTCTCTTTTGCGCTCTTTTACAGCTTATGCCATGAATTATGAATCCATATTAACTTCTTTTGTTCTCTTTTTTGCAAGGAGCGAAAATTAATGAAAATCTGAAACCTTATATTACTTTGAATTTGATAATTTACCAAATACAATTCGCACAAATAATTCTCACTAATTGTGTCCACCATTTCAAGTTTTCTCAGCCAAAACAGTCAATGAATTACATATGGAACGTTGAAATTATGCATTTATACTAATGCAAGAATATAATATAACATATGTAAAGTATGATTCATTTTCATATCTAATAATTTATTATTATTATTATTATTATTATTATGTCTTTTATAGGCATTTTTAATGACACATAATAATATAAAAAACCTCTGCAAGTTTTATTCAGTTAATTGCAAATTCAAATTTCGAAAATAAAAATTAATCATCAATTCTTATTTCTTCAATATTTACTTACAATGATAAGCTAAACTTCGATATTACTGTAGGAAATATGATAAAAATTCATAATTCATAAATAAATAGAATGCATAAACTGAACTGATCAAAAATAATCGAAAATGAGAGGTTATAAATATGCTACAGCTTTGCAGATATCTTACAATCTCAGCAATTCTTCACACAATACATTTTTATTGTAATCATAAAGCATTCAATGATAAATTAATTGTTTTCCTTTGAATCCTACAGTGCAATCGAAATGTTTTCACAAAAATTCCTGAATTATTTACAAAGATTCTTACTGCTAAAGTAATGAGAGCAAGAGAAGTGCAATGGAAAACCGAAAAGCAGATTGAGTTGCGTTAATGAAAAGGAGATTCAAGTTGAACTGCGAGCAATCACTTCAACAAAACAGACGCTTTTCAAGCAAAGTAGAGATACAGAAATAGTTCAAGAGAGATAACATCAGTAGTCTCATCTGTTCTAATGATTAAGAATGTGGACGACTTGAAATAAAAAAGTATGTGCTAATTTTTGAATATAAATTTGATAAAAGTAAATTAACAGCAAAAAGGAGCTTGCCTTCTTTGGTAATTGCAAAATGAGAATCCATCAAATGTGAGGGCAGAAAGAAAAGCGAAGTTGCGATGCATCAAAATAATAACAAAACAAAAGTGAGTGAAGCATAATGAATCTTCTAGATAATACTCACAAACTCGCAAATATGTTAAGAGTGAAAAAAAGTATTTACAAATAATAATTTTATAAATCCATAATTGATATTTAAGCACAAATTTCATTCAGTTATGAACTCATTTTGCTACAATAACAAATTCAAGCTTTTTGAAGAAAGTCCGTTACGAGTTTTCACGTTGTTAATACACGTGAATATATTATCTTTGCTTCATAAACAAACTTTGTACAAATTATCATTTCTGACTTCTTTTCTAACTCTCAACAATAATTTTAGATTCAACAATTAATGTTTACATTTGAAAGGTTATGAAGCACAGTAAAGCATAAAGACTCTGAACTAAAAGTTTGTGCTAAGCAAAGTGCACTTTGCACTTCACTTTCTGTGATCAATTCTAGCAATATATCTCAAGAATATAAGTACTTCTTTTGAAAACATCAAATGCAAATGATTCTTCGCACTTTTTCTGCATTCAGAACTTCCTATAATTGAATCTGTCTATCTATCGATTGATCTATCTATCCATGTATCTATCTATCTATCTATCTATCTATTTATACATTATCACCGCTTAGTTTTTTATTATTTGCATGGGAATCGTCAAAGCAAGCAAGATAAATTAAATATTAATCAAATTTATTATTTTATCACAAAATATAAAAGTGATTTATAGCGCAAAATGAGCGTTTATAAAGGGTAAAAATAACATCGAAAATCTGTAAAAGTATTCATGAAAATTGAACTACCTAATTCAATTCAAACTTCACTTAAATCACTGAGTTAACTTTGATTAAACTAATTCGATGCAGTACTTGAATACACAACAATTCAAAATATTTATTCAAAAATATTTATTATTTTAAAAATGAATTTTTAGTCGAAAATTTCGTAGCTTTCAAAGTACTGATCTAATGAATACTATTTAAATTAGTCAAAAAGCATTCATTTGAGCACGCGTCACGTGTACTGGAAAAACAATTTTTTATTCACTAATTACGTTTCATTAAGATACTTACATAACTTAACAGAAAGAAAGTAACAGATAAGGATGAAAAATCGCTTTTCAAAAAATCAGTGGAAAGACCAAAATCTAAACATTCTAATCATCTGGAAATTAAGTAAAAATAGACGAAGAATGATCAAAATGAAAGTTTTATACTACATTTTTCTCAGCCATCAATACTGATTCTACTTCACGTTTATTTTTTGAAGCAAAATATGCATTTTTTTAACCAGAAGAATTCATTTTTTGATAATAAATTAGATTCCTAAACAGTCACTGATAAAATTCTACCTTTAGCATGTTATCATTGTACAAACATAAGGTGGCAGGTGGCATTATTTCAGCAATAAAAGTCAACTTGAAAATGTGAAAAAAAAAATCTATCCGAAAGTTTTTCAACAAAATTTAATATAAGCTTACGTAATGAACTTTAAAAGAAGCTTACGTAACGGACTTCCAAAGAGTTGTCCTTTAGAAGTGTAGGCCTCCTTTGAAAATGGCAAAAATAATTTGTTTCATAGTGGACTTTCAAAAAAAGACTGCTAGTGTATGCTATAAAAGATTATTAGGATAAGTAAGTAAATTTACTTACAGCAACCACTTTTGATGAATATTCAATGAGCAAATGAACGTAGAAGATAATTTTAGATTATTATCAGAAAATACTCACCAAAAATCAATCAATAACAAATTTTAAATTATATAGTAGAATAAATTTTGTGATCATCGAAACGTGAAAAAACACTTGAAGTGGTAGTGAGGATAAAACTTTTACGCTCTCTAAAAAGTTAGGAAGAAGAAAATAAACGTGTACAAGTTATCCTTCTTCAGGCTTAACAACCAAATAACATAGCTGTACTATTTCTATGACGGAAAACTTTTTTTAATCAAAATTTTAAAAATTAGATCTATCTATTACATGTCATTTTAATAATGCATTTGATACTATAAAAAGCTGAGAACTTGAAGCATAACGAAAATGGTTAAGGACTTGTACAGGTATGATTTCAGGCAAGTGCCCAGCATATGTCATTATTGTTGATGAACCTTGTAATCAGTATGAATATTGCACATGTTGGCCGCGTTTAATCTAACCTTCCAAATTTTAAAACTAGATTGCTAAGCTTTATCAACACTTTGTGAGCGATGAAGTTTGTAATTCTAGTTAGAGTTGTTATTTTGAAAAGTGAGGCGAGAGGTGTAGTAGAAAATAAGCTTGTTTTTTCAGCATTATTATGTTAAAATGTTGTAAGTAATTAATTATAAGTAATTGCAGTTTGAAAATTTTTTGCTATCTTATTTTCCAACTATTAAAAATTTCCAGGAAAAGGAAGATGATTGATGAAAGTCAAATACCGATTGATATACACTGCAGCAAACTTTTGGGTAAATTTTGTCAGTTTTGTTTTGTAGGTATTTAGTTCACGTAAATAGTAAGTTTTATGCATAAACAGTTGGATTATTTTGAAATTGCTTATATCAGAATTACAGTAATTGTTGTAGATGAAACGGGGAAATACTGTCTGCATTTCTTATTTGGTGTATTAATGATTATACACATTCGTTTAGTATTCTCACTGCATTTTTAATGAGATAAATAATTTAGAGTATTCTAATGTTAAATTAATATACATATTTATGGTAGAAAAAATATATAATTAATATTCATGGTATCAAGTTTTTCTTTTTTTCTATTTATGGTAGAAGTAGGTTTTTATCAACACAGTTCAATTCATTCTCAGATTGGTTACACAGTAGAAGACACTGTGATAAAGATTGGCAAAAAAATGTAATAGTTATTCGCGAGAAGATCAGTGACGCAGTCCAAGATATGCCTGAAGATGAAAGAATAGTTGCATTACTTCAAGGATCGTGTAAGTGCTCCTAAGTTGTAGTGTTCATTATGCTGAACATTTAAATTTTGAAAAAAAGCTTGATACTACCTACAGTTACAGTGTAAAGTGATGGTTATTTAACTTAACAAATTTTTGCAGATATTAATTATTTTCATTGCGTTCGGATAGTGGAAATCTTAAAGGAAACAGAAATTAATACGAAAAATTTTCTGGGATATTATTCATCACAAAGAATGAGCGATTGGATGGTTGGTGTAGAAAATTTTATAAAACTAATTATGATTACCCTTATCGTTGTAGAAAACTGTCTGCATGGTATCATTTGGCAAAACAAGACTTGATTTAAGACGATTTATTACATGGTGTAATATAGAATTAACTGAAGAAAATTTTCAGAATATTAAAAAGATGTATGAAAAAGGAAATGTTTATTTAGCAGAAGGAGCCCAAATTCTGCAAAGAATGGTTCATTACGAAATCCCAGCCCTGAAAAAACAGATTTCGAAAAATGACCAGATAATCCTGGTACATACCAATATTGATCGAATTACTGAGTCCATAAATATCTTCTTTTCTGTTATTGAAAATAAGCCAAGCTTCTAGGACTGTATAAAAAAAGAAAGGGATAATGAAAAGCAAATGATTGATAGCAAAAAGCAGTACGAAAAGGAATTGCTGAAAATGGGACTTAAAGGTATATTATTTCAAATAATAATTTTAATATGGATTTTTATTTGGAATTGTCTTCGTATCATTTTGAGATTCACAGATTGTAGTACGAAATTTGTGTTTTTAGGTATCCATTTAAAAAAAGAAATATTGTCGTTGTTGAATGATTTACCAGCTTTTCTGATTGAAGTAGCAAAATCAATGTCGATTTTAGCCGATCCACTTGCATATTATGAACAATTTCGAAAATACATACATCAGTTAGTCCTATGAAAATCATGTTGAAGATTGTAAAAAATTATTTAAGAAATAATTTTTTTTAAATCTATTGGAAATAAATGCATGGAAAGAATTTTTTATAGTATCACTGATTTAAATATGAAGAGCATTGAGTTTAAATTAATTTACCTATTCAAAGTTCTATTTTTTTTTCATTTGCGCTTGTTTCATCTTTTCAGGTATAAAGCGCCAGATTGTGTTTTATTGCCTTTATGTAGTATGTTGATAAGGAAGGGTCCAAATGTTACCGCTTATGAATGGAAATATGGTGCAGAACCATTGCTAATTGAATTGCCTTCATTGGATATTGTACCAGATGAGAATACTGTAAAAATTTACATACAAACCAAGGAGTATTGAGATTGTATTACAGTATGATCTAAGATTCTTAATTTTGAATAATTTAATATTTTAATGTGAAGCTTATTTAGCAAAGCAGTTATTTTACTATTAGGAGAGCAGTGTTGACAATGAAATTGATTTTGGTGATGATTCTGTGAATGCTGACAACGAAATTAACTATCGTGATGACGATCTTAAAATTGAAGTTATTGAGGATGAAAAAGGTAACTTGGTTACCTTTTTTTATTAACTGGTTGTAATTTGCAAGTTTCAGCGTTCATTTCTAAATGGATAACCAGAAGTATTTTAATTTTCAGGTGTTGTTTCTGATGGAGTAGCTAGAGATTTAGATGCACTGACAATATTGGAAAATCCTGAGACACGGCGCTTGATTTATTTTGAACTGAAAGAAGTAATTCTCTTTGAGGATTTTTTCTTTCCATTGACTAGATCTCTCTTTATTCCTGCTTATGCCTAATAATATATATATATATAT